AGAGTTTGTGCGGCCCGATCTGTGAATTCCTGTTTAGCTCACTTGTACTTCTTCGCAGGTTCACAAGGATTTACAGGTCTTACTAGAATGCAATCAGTGTTGACACGATCTAACAAGAGGAAATAGCGAAAGTGCAAATGCCCCCTCCAGGACCAAACACGATTTTTTTCTATTTTAATGGCCAAACAAACTTGATGACAATGAACTTGATATCAATAATATTTACTGTTCTACTTTAGTCCTCGCCGTGACTCAATGATCGACACCACTTCATTTATGCAAATCACACCACCACCAGTGCATCGTAAAATGGGAGTAGTTGGACAGGTGCCAATTCGTTTTCCTTTTTTCTTGGAATTCTTCAAAAGAATCGATTATTTTTTAGCCTCCGCGTTCGCCACTAGCACCAATTCGATTGTCAGTGAATATTTCACCACCAGCATCACGACCTCTGAGAACAGCTCAGCGCCCTGATATCGTGAAGGTGTCCAAGGTCGAGGTAGGGTCAAAGGTTGGGTTTATTACATTACATTGGCACTCACTAAGTCCTTTAAAGCGGTGGATACGAAGGAAGGGGGTGGGCGGTCGTTGCCAACGTCATTGGCGGAAGGGCGTTTGGTCACACCACACTGATCCCTTCCACCAAACCGCCCGCTACCAGCCATCGTGCCCACTGTCTTACAACCTCCAACCAACCATCATAGCCTTCTTGAGCTCTCTAAAGCTGACCACTTTCAGAATGCGGATATGGTATTCCGTGCCAGTCGAGTGTTCGTCGATCGCAGTCCACCACAGGATCGTCGTCAAAGTGGTATCGTACAGCCAAGTCCACGCATAGACAAAAGAAATCGCCGCCCGAAGAGCATGTTCGAGCAGGCAGACGAGCCATTGTATGCCACACCAGTTAGAGCGATGAATAGGTCGGCAATACTTGGCACTTTGACTTCTGGCCAATTACTTGGACTCTTGGACTTCTCTTTTCAGTGGCTTAGACATCCTCTAAGTGCAGGCCTGAGTGTTTTCGCCAAAAGAAGGTCCGGGGCATTAAGTCCAGCTTTTTGAAACCCCGCAAGCCGAAGTTCTCTCAGAAGTGGCCATTTTCTAAATTTGGTTGCCTTTACCGCAGTATCCAATATAACTATAGGAACTCAATAAAGGCTTTAAATGAGAGAAATCAGGGTGCTTAGCGCATAAGCGGAGGCCACTAAAACTCAACGTCTCCGCGTGCTCTGTTCCTCTACCGAAGCTTAGAAAAATCATTTTTCGGTGATTATAACCTTGCGAGGAGGGGGGAGGGGGTAGGTGGCACACCTGTAAACGCTTGTTACATACCAAATCCTGTGAAAAGCTGACAACCCTGTCAACGCCCTGAACGTTCTGTTATGTGCTGTTATTGTTTTCTGTGATACACTTGACCTTCGTCTCTTGAATGGGCTCAGAGGACTGACGATATGGTGGGTTACTCAATTTTCTAGAATCCCCGAAATCCTTCTCTTTCAAAAAGCCCATTCCTGGCACATATCGTGTTCCCTTGTGTCATTTAGTGTTCTGTGAGTTCTTGCTCTCTCTCTCTCTTCTCTCTCTCTTCTACGTCTGCGAGTCAGACGCAATTTCAGAACAGGCCTTTTCAGCTCAACTGCGCTCTCTTAACAAGAGGGTGTGCCCTGGTCCTGCTCGAAGATCCCCCTCAATGAAATCCTACTGCCCTAGCAAGACTGGCTACTAATTCGCGGCTTAAAGTTTCCACTAGGGTCAATACACTTGTAATCCTTCCTTTAAAGGCAATTCCCGCGACCACACTTCATAGGTAATACAGTTCAAAAATAGAATTGCCCTGTGGTTGTTGACTTATTGAAGGGAAGGAACCACGAAAAAGCGCCCGCAATAAGACCCTCTTTATTTCAATTGATCATTTATCACTGGGACGGGAGCGTAAGGTGGTCAAGATCGATTGTGGATGGCAAAAGGCGGCGAGACACTGATAAGAGACGAGAGAGGCCAGAAAACGACGAGCGAGAGAGCACAATGGCAGTGTCACAACGACACGATCACCGGAGGCCGGCATGGGCCTATCGGGCGCCAATGGGCCTAAAACCTGAGCGCCCTGCGTTTTGCTTGCTGTTTTTCAACTTTTGTAAGCAGCATAGCCTCTGACGTTGCCTGCTTGACCGTCGGGCACGGTTATGAGAACCTAGCCTTAGTTTATCGCGGAACGTGCCTTTAAGCCTTCGCTAAGACCCTGCCGGTCATTTTTATCACCGCGGAAACGGTTTAAGCGATTAATTTCCTTTCCCAAAGAAATCCTCAGATCCTTCCTGAACATTTATGTTCAACGGGTAAAAAGTCGTGGACCAGTCTCAGAGTTGGGCAAATCCAACAAGTGGGCGTGGTTCTGATGTGGGCGGGACTTTGAACCACTATGGGGCTTTTCAAGAGTCTGTACTCTCGAGTCCGCAGACTTTACTGAGGCGAACTCTTCGCAAACAAATTACGCCTATATTCTATCCAAAAATCGATCCAAACCTCTCATACACAGTTAATCTGTGAACAAGCGTGAAACTTAAAGGCACGGTCCGCGATAAAAAGCCTAGGTGATTTTGCAGAAATGTGGAAGAAAATTCGCCAAGTGAACCATCTATGAAGAGAAAATGCCAAAGGGAACGTTGGAAACGCATTCGTCAGGCCTCCTCTAGCCTCAAACAACTGTAGAGGTAAAAGACCGAAAAGACCGCGCGCTGGGACAATTCCCGTCGGCTGATTCCCAGTAATGAACCCTATGACTCTACAAGAGACATTGAATGCATCCACTCCATGATACTTGCCCGGGAGCATTACTTTTGGCTGGAAGGCCGACTTTGGAGGCGGAGTCTGGAGGCGGAGTCACTGGAAAAGGGATGTACCACTGAAGCAACTTTGCGCCTTAATTCTCTGTGGTTATGCTTTTTCTTTCAGAGACTGCCGTGCCGCACCAGTGAACTCACCGGCGGTCGTACGAAGAACAGCTTTCGTACCTGTCGTTTCCAGGTGTGTGCGCTTTACCTTCTTTAACTTCAATACAGCCTTGTTCGCTGCGGACGTTGGCGCGTCGGGGAGGGGGGGGGTGTGGGTGAGGCGCGGCGCCAGCTAAATCTTAACCAGTTGTGGGAGTGAGTAGGCGACAACAACGAGACTAGCTGACGCCGCGCCAAACTCACCTCCCCACAACCGCGAAACGCCTGCAAAACAAGACTGCACTTTATCCTAGTATATTTCTTAATTTTGTATTATCTATTACTATTTATCTTGATCGTTTCAGATTTCTTGCTAGCAATAACAGCTCTGACCATATGCGATATCAGAAGGCCCGACCGATTGAGAAGAACTGGCGTGAATCCGAAGGTCTATAAGAAAGCTAGGACCGATACTTTGGACACGTTCAAAGAAGAATCCTGCACGAAAACACTGAATGACACTGAATTCAGAGATATTTTTATGAAATAATTGCTTTGCTATGTAATTAAGACGATTCGACAATTCTAATTATGAGTAGTGCGATTTACAGCCCTGTTCGTTGCGGATGAAGGGGCGTGTCAGTGAGACTGGGTTTGGCGCGCCGCCAGCGCGTTTTCACCCCAACTGGTGGAAAACGATTGATACGAACGGACGTAATACTGGTTGTCTCCTAGTGAAAGAAAGAAGAAAAAGAACGGGTTGGCGCTTCGCCAAATGCAACCCCCCCCTTGGCATGCCCCTTCATCCGCAGCGAACAGGATTGTTTGTGAACCAGTACTGCTAAGTGAAGCCCTAAATGACACCCAATACTAACCTATTTAACTGTTTCGTTATTATAATAACGTATTGCCTGATAACGGTATTTTCAATCCAATAAAACTTTTCAATCAATTCAGTACAATTTACTTGATCGGGGGCCGATAATGGGGTGTCGGATGGGAAATTCGAGTCGCTCCCATGCAGCACTGGAAATGCCGTCACACGAGCGGCATTCGCACCAGGATTGGGAATCTCTAGTTTTGAGTCAACTGGACAGAAATTACCTGATAGTTTCTATCCGTGGCTGCATCGTGGATCTCCTAACCGCCCTCTCGAATCAATGACTGCGACACCGTCTCAGCACTACTGCCCACATCAATCAACACTTGTTCTTTGGTACCAAAGGAATACTGAATTTGTTAGTGTTTGGCTCTCACGAGACAGTAACGTGCGCGACATTCGCACCATTATATAATTGGTTGGAGCGTCGCAGTTTCTCGATTCAACCTAGATAGAAAACACTAGATAGCTTGGGCCGTCACTCAGTAGAGCTAGATAACACCAAAATGTTGCACAACTCTAAAAACGTCGTTCAAGATTGTCGGCTCGGCGGGGCCAGGAAACGAAATCGTTAGTGCCAGGGTGCAGCATAATTGGGAAAATCCCATCAAGAGGTCTCACTTGGACGGGGTCGTATTTGGCTGGTGCACAGGGGGGTGGGCGTTTGTATTCGGTTGATGGGAGTGGTATCTGTCTTGTTCCCCCCCCCTCCCCCATTCTGTTCCCACTGTTCGACACCACAGAGGAAATAGAAGGGGGAAACGGGAGAGCAGAGCTGAGGGAAACTGGAAAGATTCCTGGAAAACTGGCTGGGAGAAGTGCGAGAAGTTGGGAAAACTCAGAGTGGTGTAGAGGTAGGAGAAGTAAGGGTCGTACCGAAGGTTGATCTCTCGGTAAGGGAGATCGTCTGACACCGCCATTTCTCCCATCCCATTGCTGTACCCTTGTTGGCGCATCACTACTGCTCTTTGCGAAAGCAGCGACAAAAGGCAAAGCACATCAGTGTCTGATTCCGCCCACCCAGCAATCCTGAACTGTATCTCTAAAGGCAGTTGGCACGGTAACTCCCTCAAGGCGAGTAGGATTGAATACGCCTGGCAGGACGGAATTCTGCACCCCTGAGCAGGCGCTGCGTAGCGCCTTTTCCAAGGAGGTACCCTTATAAGGCCCTATCAAGCTGCAACATACCGACCCGAACGCCCACCACGCCCGCCCGCCCACAAATGGACGACCTGATGCTCGTATTGCTTCATTTGCGAAGTAAAATATGAAGCGAAGGGATTGATATGAAGCGGCTGCGGTGCTGCATGGATATATGAGTACATACGTGCAGCCGTATCTACCGTAGCGGTTATTGGCAAGATGCCTACGGGAAACTCGTCCGAAATTGCTTTTGAGTCATTAAGAACGAAGGCTTTTCTTCGCAGGTTTTTGACCGTTTCACTTCGTTTTTTCGCTATTTCCCACTATATAGCACCCTGCTAGCATTTTAGACCGAATACCAAATTAGCGGGCCATATGCCTTTGAGGCAGTTCCCATAACTTCACATAATAAAAGTGCATATATTTATTCTTCTATTATGACGTCTTCATTTCCAGTTGTTTCCATCACTGAGATAACCTGGGTTGGTTGCGTATGCTGGGTCGGTTGAGTTTGTTGTGTTTTGAGAACGCAGTCAGGATGATGATGTGACGACTTTCTGTGAATGTAAGTCGTTCCGTGACGAGGAGAATTCGCTGTGTCAGTCACGATGTTAGCGTCGTGATCTCCTTCGGCTCCCAAGCGGACCACTGCTTGAGGCAATGGCGACTCCTCCGATACTGACTGGAAAAAGTACGTTCTACAGTCCTCATCATTGCGGACTGTCGAGGCGGCTGAGCCGCGCTGCACTGTGACGCGACAGCGGCTGCGGGTGACGGCGAATCAGCAATTTCGATGGAATTCGGCTGCGAATTCCCACTTTTTTAGCTTCTTCAAGGCTCTCCAGAGGGAGAAGGTGAGTCATTTTGACATTTCACATTGTTTTTTCTACTGGCTCTAATTTCTTTTATTTTTATGTCTATTATTATGCTCTTTTCCTTGCATTTTGCCTTATTTCAGACATTTATTCAAATGGCTTGCATTCTTTCTTCAGATTCATCAGAGCCGATCAATTTAATTGTCAAATAATACTACCTACCACTTTCAAAAGCTTGAAGAGCTGAAAAGTGGGAATTCGCAGCCGAATTCCATGGAAATCAGCTGATTCGCC